CCCCAAAACCCCAAAACCCCAAAACCCCAAAACCCCAGATTGTAGGATAAGAGCAATTGAATGATAAAAATAGATTAATTGATTATAATAATAGAGAGTTATTTTAAAGTATTAATGCCGAATAGCACTGCAGCTAACTCAGTTTATCTCATTACAAATGAAGCTGTAAGTATCAATGAAATGCTAGATGATAGCTTATAATTATGTAGAAATTAGATATTTAATAATATCATGAACGAAGGAAATACAAATTTAACCTTAAATCTCTATTGAAAACACTTGATCTTGGTAATTAACCTAGTATGCATAACTTACTCTAGATAAAAACGGTTTAATAAATGTGGATGTGTTTATATCAACTGCAGAGGATCATGAAATATTGCTATCTGAGAAAGATTAGCAATACCTCAAGACTAAAATGATTCAAAACAATAGCAAGATAATTTATGAAGATGTTATCAAAGAATTGGCTTTGATAGTGATTACAGAGAGGTAAGAGCCAGATGGAGAAGACTCATTTTCGTAAAAAGAGAATCACCAATAAAGTCAAAATTTGTAAGTACTTAATTTACCATTAAATCGTTTGTATGCTAATAATCAAATTATAGCCAGTGGGTTCTGAGAAGCAACAATAAAGATTTATTGCAAGCTTTAAAAAGCTAGGGCGGAATGTTTCAAAATCTAACTAACCTACATAAAATAAACAAGAAACCACCTATGATGTAGAAAAGACTATTAATTTCGAGAAAGTTGTCGAATCAGAATTCTGTAGTAAATATTGAGGACATGCGAAGATGATCATAAACTCCTCAGAGCATGGGTGCTCTAAGCGTAGATATTTAGAATAGCAACTCTAATGATTCAATGATTCAACTGATAGGCTCATTTAGTGATGAGCTATAAACTGTGATTAAGAGAATTATTGGACATAAATAGGCCAAGCCAAGAAACACAGGAATTGACTGGAAGAAATAAATTAGTGCTGCCTCTAAAAAGATAAATATTCACAAAAACATTTAGACGAAGATATTCATAAAAGCAGCTATCTCTTAAGAGAGAATTCAGCAGTAAAAAGATAAGATGTAAGAAATTATATGATTTACCATATTATTAGACGAAAATATATGAAAGATAATTAAATTGATATAATGCATTTGAACGAGATTAATAATGTGTTTCTAGACTGTGACGAGGATAGACATGGTTAAATATCAAAGCGAAAATTCTTAATTCAAATTGCAGAGCAGAATCTTCAATTTCCAGCAGATTTCTTGTTTAAATTAATCTCAGATTTACAAATTAATCCTGAGGACACTAGTGAGGATGCTGTACTTAACTATGAAAACTTGAAAAATATTATTGAAATATATAATAACTGCCCCACCTTCCTTAAGTACGATAATCATCAATTGTAATTTATTGGTTTTAGAGGAGATAACAATAACTCGGACAACTTTAAGTAGAACATGGACTTAAATAGAGACATGTCTTAGAGCCATGATAGAATAGACAAACTACTGCAATATGTTCATGCTAGAATCGAGGAGAAATTCAAGGATTTCAGGAAGGCATTTAGAAGTTTTGATAAGAATTTTGATGGAGGTTTGAATTTCAAAGAGTTCATAACAGGAATGGATGGTATCGGAATAAAACTCAAGCTGACTGACTATCGATTATTGTTTGATGCAATTGACTATGATCAAGAAGGGGAAATCGGCTTCAGTAAATTTTGTCTACTAAACACAGACAGAAGATCTGACTTATAACAACTAGTAATCATAATTTCATCTTACATCTATTCTAGAAATAAGAATACCTAAGAAGTCAAGAGACCAAGAGTGTTATTTCTAATAGTAGAATTGGAGGGAAATACTAAAAACCCCCATTGCCATTCCTGTAGATAAAGGGAGAACAGGCTACTCATCATGATTCTACATCTAAAACTCATCCTCTGTTTGGTGATGGGAACATTCCAAAAAATAAGGACATGAACAGCTTCACCAAATCAATCTAGCAAGGCAATCAAGTGCAAACCTATATGCAGAAAAGATTCCTACGCTCGGCTTAAAAAGGAGGACTAAAGACTGTGTAAGATATGCCAGAGGGTCATTCTTTTGGCTAAGTGTACAATAGAGATCATGACATGGTGGCTATATTAACTAACTCCTATTAGGATGAGCTCAAGCGTTCTACGATCGAAGAGCTTAGACAAACTTTGGCTTAGAAAAGGATATATATATCTAAGCCTACTCATGCATAGTAAATTAGAGACAAACTTACCAGGAATAAATATCTGAATACACTTGGAAGGCCTGGATCTGTATCGATACCTCGAAGCAGCTCGGACAATAAAAGATTGTTTTCGAAAGATATAATGATGAAGGGGATGACACCGAGCTCACTGCAATAATCATAGTCCAACAGTTTCATCAAGAAACTTTGAATCTACTTATAAAATCATTAAAAATAAGCTAGACTGTTAATAGACTCACATATTCTTAACTTAAATTTTCCTATCTTTGAAATATAAAACTTTAAATTAGAAATTATAAGAGCCCTAATATAAAACTTACGAGAGGGCTATAAGGGATAAGAATAATTTATTCATTATCAGCATGTTCAAATAAGCACCACATTGCCATCGTCACTTGAGAACATTACCAGGTTGTCTTTTTCCAGTTCCTCTATTATTTGAACGAGTTGCTGCTTGCTTTGTATTATGGGCTTTCCTCTCTTAAATGTCTCACTCTCTGGGGCTGCCATAAAAGCTCTCCACAAGTTGTTAACTGTGGTCTGATTGCTCTAACCCTTGTTCTCGCTAATTAGTTTGTACAAGTACTTCTTTTGCGTCATGTCGATGACTGTGGTTTGCTGTGTATTTGATTCAACTGTCTTTGTTGGGGCTGGTTGTTGCTTAGCTGTGAACAAACTGGATAGCTCTTAAGTCTCCTAAGCAGTTTTCATAGCTTCATCAGTTGGATGATCAATCTTCTGTCTCTTGGTTGGTCTTCCTGAGTCATCACTTGGTTTTTTATTAGATGTTGTTGGAACTGTTTCCTTCTTGGCAGAGTTAGTTGCTGAGCTATTGTTAGAGATTGCTGTTCTTTCTGAGCCTCTGGTCTTTCTAACAGCTGAGGATTAGTTCTTGTTGCTGCTTCCATTCTTGCTTTCATCCTTAGCTGGAGACACTGGGTTAGAACCATTTCTCTGAGCATATCTCTAACCTCTTGTAGATGACTTATTCTTCTGCACTATTTCCTCTTCATTTTCATCATACATATGTTCATCCTCGTCATCTTCTACTATTGGTTATTCTTTTTCTGGCTTGGCAACTTCTTGGAAAATGCTCTCGTTCAATAGGGTAACAGCAACATCGATGTCAATTGGCTCAACTGATTTAGACAACCTTAACTTGGCGTGAGAAGTAGCAAGTCTGATCATAGTTTCAAGAGTTCTGACAGTAATAGGCGCACTGATCTTAGCTTGATCATAGTTGAGTGCCTTGGATCTGATCATTGAGTAGAACTGAGCAGCATATTCAATACAGTCTTGGTGGAGCTCTGGAGCTTTTTGCGACTTGGCATATGAGAGATACTTCTTTAGGAAATCTCTTGTTACAATAGACAAAGCCTTTGGGTCAAAGTTGAATGTCTTTTCAAATACTTGGTTTGATTTCTCAGTGGTTCTGGCTTTGTGTGAGTCAAAATCGTTTTCAACGACTACATCATCATTGGTATAGTGGAAAACTGAGGCGAGTTCAGAGCCTGAATGAGGAGCCATATACCTATGATTGGCAATAACTCTCTCTGCAATCTTTCTATCATTATCAGGATCCTTCTCATCCAAGATCACGAACAAAAGATCGAATCTACTCAGTAGAGAATCTGGCATGCCGATGTTTCTACCTACTGGCTGGTCTCTAGCATATTCTCCATAGATTGGATTGGCAGCAGCCACTACACTACATCTAGCATTCAAGCTGACATGGATACCAGCTTTGGCGATGGTTACTGTTTGCTGCTCCATGACCTCGTGAATAGCGACTCTATCAATATCGTTCATCTTGTCGAACTCATCGATGCAGACTATACCTCTATCAGCCAAGACCATTGCACCTGCCTCCAAATGCTTCTCATTAGTATCCTTATCGGTAGTGACTGCAGCAGTGAGACCGACACCAGTGGAACCACGACCAGTAGTGTTGATTGCTAAGGGAGCGATGTCCATAACATGTCTGAGTAACTGTGATTTTGCAGTTGAAGGATCACCTACCATCAATATATTGATATCTCCTCTCAAGTGAGTTCCATTCTCAAGGTTCTTCTCAGCTCCACCCAAAAGTTAAAGGAGTAAGGCTTTCTTGCAATTGTTCATACCTTCAATACTTGAAGCTATTGATCCTCCCAGAATATCGAATAATTTTTCATCCTTTGACAATTTCTTAATGTTTTTAATATCATTTTCATTTAGATTTGGCTTTTCCTTTTCAAAATTAATTTGAACGAGACCAGTTGCAATAAGCTTAGTAAGAGTGATAGCACTTCTGTTATCAATACCAGTAGTGGGCATAGCTCTGTAGACACCAGTTACTTGGATTCTGTCACCTGGCTTGACTTTATCAACTAAATCATCTTCAAGAATAACTTCGATTGATCTAGGAAGCTGACCAGGAGGTGCTCTCTCAGGCATTTCCTGGATAACAATAGTTTGATAATCTCTATAGACACAATATCCATACTCTACTGATAAGGGGTTTCCATTTGCATCGGATGTCAAGAATCCATTGGTTCCCTCCTGAATGTAATCGTCCTCCTGCTATCTAGCTAAAGTGTCAAGATTTGTAGTATCAGTGTAATGCTTCACATGACCTCTTTTGGTTGTTTCACAATAATGTATGCTAGTTTGGATTCTGGGCTTGACAATACTCATTCTTGTAACAATGCCACTCACTTGGACATACTGATTCAGCAGGTCTGATTTCAAGCCTCTGGGTGTAATGTGATTGCGTCCAAAGTTGCCCTCGAAGTTCACGTAATACACTTGGGTCTTCTTGGGGAAATTATCTTGAGCTGTTGCTAACTTTTCATTATTGGTCTTGCTTGAACCCTCTTCTCTCATGGATTTGGCATTATTATTCAGGTGCTCCTAGAACATCTTGATTGCTGCAAGTGGACTTCTCATGATAAATGTTGCTAGCTGAGGCTTGTATGTTCTGAGCTCGTCGATGTTGATGTTAAATCTATTGCTTCTAATGTTAGTGCTGTTGATCATGTTTCTAACTCTCTTGCTGATCTCATTCTGATTCATGTACTCTGCAATCATTTCCTGATACATTACCTTCTCTGCATCCTAATTCACTGGTTATACATGCTCGTTCATGTTTGTCTAGCGTGTGAATGTGTTGATTTGCTCCATTGTTGTTGTTTGCTAAAGTTGATACCGCTTTATAATTCGCGCAATTAAAAATTTATTAAATCATACTATGGACTGTTAGTTAATAAATTCTCAAACTCCTAGTTGCGTAATAATTAACTCAATTTAAATTTGTAAGCAGCCCATTTTGATGAATTAATCATTTTATTCAAATTAACTGGATCACATATTCTAAGCATTTCCTTGAACTCCTACTACAGTATGATAATAAAGACACTCAAAAGATAGCTACTAAGCAAGCAGAATTAGAGCTCCATATTGGGGGCAAGTTAATAAAGAGGGTTTTAAAGTCAGATGAATGGCTTTAAAGCTAATATGTGCAAATAGCAAATGCTGAATTATTATTGGTCGCAAGAGTAATATAAGAGTATCGATAAGCACACATTTAATAATATCTTTAGTAAAAGTTAACTTATCAAATAAGTTCAGAGAAATTACCAATAATCAAACATGGAAGCAACTAACAACACTGAGGAACAACAAAAACAAGAAACCACTCAGGAACAAACTGAGGTAAGCACTACTAGCACAGAGCAAACTCAAAAGCAGGAAGAAAAAGAACCATACTTTGATTTAGGAGCAATTGATCAGCCAATCGAGTAGGTTCCAGTTCCAGTAAAGCATATATCTGAGACTGCCTACGGATACAAGCAAACCCGTATTAGAATTGCCAAGCTCTACAGTGAGACTGAGAAGTACATGAACCATATCATCACCATCGCCGGTTGGGCTAGAACCACCAGAGCTGGAGGCAAGGACTTTTGCTTCGTCGAGCTCTTCGATGGTTCCTTCCAAAAAGGTGTCTAGGTCGTAGTCTTTAAGGAGGTTGAGGGCTTTGAAAACATTATCAAGTGCAACGTTGGAACTAGCTTCAAGTTCACTGGTACTCTGATTAAGAGTCCAGCCAAGGGGCAGCCATTTGAATTGCAACTGAGTTAAACTGATAAGCATAAAGCTGTGATTTTCGGTCATTGCGATGCTGGAAAGTACCCTCTAGCCAAAAAGAGACACACAGTTGAGTATTTAAGAGAAATCGCTCATTTAAGGCCAAGAACCAACTTATTCGGTGCTGTTACAAGAGTTAGAAACAACTTGGCATATGCCACTCACATTTTCTTCTAGGAAAGAGGCTTCTAATATATTCATACTCCAATTATCACAGCTTCAGATTGCGAGGGAGCAGGTCAAATGTTCTAAGTAACCACTATTCTTCCAGAGCCACACGATTCTATTTCTAAGATCCCAACCAATGATGGTCTAGTTGAAGAAAAGAAAGAAGAAGTTAAAGAATCCAAGAAAGATAAGAAGAAGGCCAAGAAGGAGAAGAAAGCTAAGGATGCAGCTGCCACCACTGATGAGACTAAAGCTGAAGGCGAGGAAACTAAGGTAGAAGAGCAACCAAAGACTGATGAATAGGTAGTACAGTAGCAATAAGCAATCCCCTTCGAAGAGAGAAAAGTCAACTACAAGAAGGATCTTTTCGGCAAGCCCAGTTTCCTGACTGTCTCAGGTCAATTGAATGTTGAGAACTACGCATGCGCTGTTGGTGATGTCTACACTTTTGGACCCACTTTCAGAGCTGAGAACTCTCACACTTCCCGTCACTTGTCAGAATTCTGGATGATCGAGCCAGAAATCGCTTTCGCCACTCTCGAGGATAACATGGCAACTGCTGAAGACTATCTCAAGTTCTGCCTTAACTACGTTCTTACCAACAACATTGAGGAACTCCAGTTCTTCGACCAATTCGTTGAAAAGGGACTTATTGAAAGACTTAGAAAGGTACATGAAACTCCATTCAAAAGAGTAGCATACACCGAAGGTATTGAGATTCTCGAAAGAGACATCAAGGACAAGAAAGTTAAGTTCGATAACAAGGTCTTCTGGGGAGTTGATCTAGCTTCAGAGCATGAAAAGTATCTTACTGATAAGATTTTCGAAGGTCCAATCATCCTTTACAACTACCCCAAGGACATCAAGGCATTTTATATGAAAATGAATGAAGATGGCAAGACTGTCCAAGCTATGGACGTTTTAGTCCCTAGAATCGGAGAATTGATTGGAGGTTCAGCCAGAGAGGATAACCTAGAATTATTAGATAAGAGAATTGAAGATTGCAAACTAGAGAAGGAGTCCTATTGGTGGTATAGACAACTTAGAGAGTACGGAAGCATTCCACACGCCGGTTTCGGTCTTGGATTTGAGAGACTTGTTATGATGTCCACTGGTGTTGAGAACATCAGAGATGTTATTCCTTTCCCTAGAGCCCCAGGTGCTGCTGAGTTCTGAACATTTTTGCTTCAAAAATCCACATAACGAATTAGTAATGAATAGAAGTTATGTAATTTATGGCGAATACTTCTTTTAATAATCTCTACTATTCTAGGCTAATTTTATATGTAATTTTCTCTATTTATTTACTCTATATGATATCAAGGGGTTTTGGGGTTTTGGGGAGATCGGAAGAGCACAC